TATAGGGGCCCATGGCAATTAGGGGCCTGGCAGCAGCTATGGGAGGCCCGTAATCTGCCAGCACCCTATGTCAAAAAATTGGAACACACCAGCAGTGTGTGAGGAGACCTGAAAGTGGCACATGGCAGAGTGTGGCGATGAGACAGCAGCAATGGGAGGCCGTACAGGGACCCATGAGAGACTCTGGACCTGGCAGCAGCATGAGGAGGCGGTATAGGGGCCCATGGCAGATTAGGGGCCTGGCAGCAGCTATGGGAGGCCCGTAATCTGCCAGCACCCTATGACAAAAAATGGAACACACCAGCAGTGTGAGGAGACCTGAAAGTGGCACATGGCATGAGACAGCAGCAATGGGAGGCCGTACAGGGACCCAGCTCTGGACTTGGCAGCAGCATGAGGAGGCGGTACAGGGGCCCATGGCAGATTAGGGGCCTGGCAGCAGCTATGGGAGGCCCGTAATCTGCCAGCACCCTATGACAAAAAATGGAACACACCAGCAGTGTGTGAGGAGACCTGAAAGTGGCACATGGCAGAGTGTGGCGATGGAGACAGCAGCAATGGGAGGCCGTACAGGGACCCATGAGAGACTCTGGACCTGGCAGCAGCATGAGGAGGCGGTATAGGGGCCCATGGCAGATTAGGGGCCTGGCAGCAGCTATGGGAGGCCCGTAATCTGCCAGCACCCTATGACAAAAAATGGAACACACCAGCAGTGTGTGAGGAGACCTGAAAGTGGCACATGGCAGAGTGTGGCGATGGAGACAGCAGCAATGGGAGAGGCCGTACAGGGACCCATGAGAGACTCTGGACTTGGCAGCAGCATGAGGGAGGCGGTATAGGGGCCCATGGCAGATTAGGGCCTGGCAGCAGCTATGGGAGGCCCGTAATCTGCCAGCACCCTATGTCAAAAAAAAATGGAACACACCAGCAGTGTGTGAGGAGACCTGAAAGTGGCACATGGCAGAGTGTGACGATGGACAGCAGCAGACCGTACAGGGACCCATGAGATGGAGGGCACCTGGCAGCAGCATGGGAGGCCCGTAATCCCAGCACCCCTATGAAAAAATGGAACACACCAGCAGGTGAGAGACCTGAAAGTGGCACATGGCAGAGAGTGGCCCGTGGAGCAGCAGCAATGGGAGCCCGTACAGGAGACCCATGAAACTGGAACCACAGCAGCATGTGTAGGAGGCCTGTAAGGGGCCCATGGCAGATGGGGCCTGGCAGCAGCTATGGGAGGCCCGTAATCTGCCAGCACCCTATGTCAAAAAAATGAACACACCAGCAGTCTGGAGGAGACCTGAAAGTGGCACAGCATGAGACACTGTGGACCTGGCAGCAGCATGAGGAGGGGCCCATGGCAGATTAGGGGCCTGGCAGCAGCTATGGGAGGCCCGTAATCTGCCAGCACCCTATGACAAAAAATGGAACACACCAGCAGTGTGTGAGAGACCTGAAAGTGGCACATGGCAGAGTGTGGCGATGGAGACAGCAGCAATGGGAGGCCGTACAGGGACCCATGAGAGACTCTGGACTTCTGCAGCAGCATGAGGAGGCGGTATAGGGGCCCATGGCAGATTAGGGGCCTGGCAGCAGCTATGGGAGGCCCGTAATCTGCCAGCACCCTATGTCAAAAAATGTCAAAAAAATTGAACAACCTGAAAGTGGCACACAGCAGTGTGTGAGGAGACCTGAAAGTGGCACATGGCATGAGGGACACATGTGGACCTGGACTTGGCAGCAGCATGAGGAGGCGGTACAGGGGCCCATGGCAGATTAGGGGCCTGGCAGCAGCTATGGGAGGCCCGTAATCTGCCAGCACCCTATGACAAAAAATGGAACACACCAGCAGTGTGTGAGGAGACCTGAAAGTGGCACATGGCAGAGTGTGGCGATGGAGACAGCAGCAATGGGAGGCCGTACAGGGACCCATGAGACACTCTGGACCTGGCAGCAGCATGAGGAGGCGCTATAGGGGCCCATGGCAGATTAGGGGCCTGGCAGCAGCTATGGGAGGCCCGTAATCTGCCAGCACCCTATGTCAAAAAAATTGAACACACCAGCAGTGTGTGAGGAGACCTGAAAGTGGCACATGGCAGAGTGTGGCGATGGAGACAGCAGCAATGGGAGGCCGTACAGGGACCCATGAGAGACTCTGGACTTCGCAGCAGCATGAGGAGAGGCGGTATAGGGGCCCATGGCAGATTAGGGGCCTGGCAGCAGCTATGGGAGGCCCGTAATCTGCCAGCACCCTATGTCAAAAAATTGAACACACCAGCAGTGTGTGAGGAGACCTGAAAGTGGCACATGGCATGTGGCGATGGACAGCACAATGTGGACCTGGCACAGCCCATGAGGAGGCGGACCTGGCAGCAGCATGAGGAGGCGGTACAGGGGCCCCATGGCAGATTAGGGGCCTGGCAGCAGCTATGGGAGGCCCGTAATCTGCCAGCACCCTATGTCAAAAAATGGAACACACCAGCAGTGTGTGAGGAGACCTGAAAGTGGCACATGGCAGAGTGTGGCGATGGAGACAGCAGCAATGGGAGGCCGTACAGGGACCCATGAGAGACTCTGGACCTGGCAGCAGCATGAGGAGGCGGTATAGGGGCCCATGGCAGATTAGGGGCCTGGCAGCAGCTATGGGAGGCCCGTAATCTGCCAGCACCCTATGTCAAAAAAATTGAACACACCAGCAGTGTGTGAGGAGACCTGAAAGTGGCACATGGCAGAGTGTGGCGATGGAGACAGCAGCAATGGGAGGCCGTACAGGGACCCATGAGAGACTCTGGACTTCGCAGCAGCATGAGGAGGTGGTATAGGGGCCCATGGCAGATTAGGGGCCTGGCAGCAGCTATGGGAGGCCCGTAATCTGCCAGCACCCTATGTCAAAAAAATTGAACACACCAGCAGTGTGTGAGGAGACCTGAAAGTGGCACATGGCATGAGACACAGCAATGGACCGTACTGGCCCAGCAGCATGGACTTCGGAGGAGGCGGTACAGGGGCCCATGGCAGATTAGGGGCCTGGCAGCAGCTATGGGAGGCCCGTAATCTGCCAGCACCCTATGTCAAAAAATGGAACACACCAGCAGTGTGAGGAGACCTGAAAGTGGCACATGGCAGAGTGTGGCGATGGAGACAGCAGCAATGGGAGGCCGTACAGGGACCCATGAGAGACTCTGGACCTGGCAGCAGCATGAGGAGGCGGTAATAGGGGCCCATGGCAGATTAGGGGCCTGGCAGCAGCTATAGGGGCCCGTAATCTGCCAGCACCCTATGACAAAAAATGGAACACACCAGCAGTGTGTGTGAGGAGACCTGAAAGTGGCACATGGCAGAGTGTGGCGATGGAGATGGAGACAACCCACCGACTGTTTTTTGCTCGCTGCCAAGCTGCCACCCTCTTCTCCTGATGATGCGGAAGCAATAGCCTGATGACGACGAGCTGCCAAGTGCGATCAGCCTCATCATCATCAATTAGGGTCTCCGCCTCACTACTAGCCCCCTCGGCTGCGTGTGGGTCAGGAGACAGACCTGTCTCTAGACCGGCTATCGAGCCACTCTCCTCGCCACTACTTCTTCGCCTGGCTGCTGAAAGAGGCGGATGTCTCCCCCCCGTTCCTGACCGCCCTCTGTTAGCTCTTCCTTCCTCACTGTACTGGATGACACCGGGAGCACTGGCCTCTGGCTGCGAATAGTGCAGTGCCTCGACCCCTTCCTCTGCTGCCACGTCTGCTCGCTCCTAAAACATTGCCTCCTCTGCCACTCCTCTGCATGTTGTCTGACATACTCTTTAATTCAACGATTCTGTGTCCCTGAGTAACAATTCTGTGTCTGTCCCTGAGTAACAATTCTGTGTCCCTGAGTAACATTTCTGTGGCCCTAAGTAACAGTTCTGTGGCCCTCAGTAACAATTCTGTGTCCCTCAGTAACAATTCTGTGTCCCTCAGTAACAATTCTGTGTCCCTCAGTAACAATTCTGTGTCTGTCCCTGAGTAACAATTCTGTGTCTGTCCCTGAGTAACAATTCTGTGTCCCTGAGTAACAATTCTGTGTCCCTCAGTAAAAATTCTGTGTCCCTCAGTAACAATTCTGTGTCCCTCAGTAACAATTCTGTGTCCCTGAGTAACAATTCTGTGTCCCTGTAACAATTCTGTGTCCCTGAGTAACAATTCTGTGTCTGTCCCTGAGTAACAATTCTCGTGTCCCTAAGTAACGTTTCTGTTGCCCTAAGTAACGTTTCTGTGTGCCCTAAGTAACAATTCTGTGGCCCTAAGTAACGTTTCTGTGGCCCTAAGTAACGATTCTGTGGCCCTCAGTAACAATTCTGTGTCCCCTCAGTAACAATTCTGTGTCCCTGAGTAACAATTCTGTGTCTGTCCCTGAGTAAGAATTCTGTGTCTGTCCCTGATAACAATTCTGTGTCCCTGAGTAACAATTCTGTGGCCCTAAGTAACAGTTCTGTGCCCTCAGTAACAATTCTGTGTCCCTCAGTAACAATTCTGTGTCCCCTCAGTAACAATTCTGTGTCCCCCTCAGTAACAATTCTGTGTCCCTCAGTAACAATTCTGTGTCTGTCCCTGAGTAACAATTCTGTGTCTGTCCCTGAGTAACAATTCTGTGTCCCTGAGTAACGTTTCTGTGGCCCTAAGTAACAGTTCTGTGGCCCCTCAGTAACAATTCTGTGTCCCTCAGTCAGTAACAATTCTGTGTCTGTCCCTGAGTAACAATTCTGTGTCTGTCCCTGAGTAACAATTCTGTGTCCCTCAGTAACAATTCTGTGTCCCTCAGTAACAATTCTGTGTCCCTCAGTAACAATTCTGTGTCCCTCAGTAACAATTCTGTGTCTGTCCCTGAGTAAGAATTCTGTGTCTGTCCCTGATTAACAATTCTGTGTCTGTCCCTGAGTAACAATTCTGTGTCCCTGAGTAACGTTTCTGTGGCCCTAAGTAACAATTCTGTGGCCCTCAGTAACAATTCTGTGTCCCTCAGTAACAATTCTGTGTCCCTCAGTAACAATTCTGTGTCTGTCCCTGAGTAACAATTCTGTGTCTGTCCCTGAGTAACAATTCTGTGTCCCTGAGTAACGTTTCTGTGGCCCTAAGTAACAGTTCTGTGGCCCTCAGTAACAATTCTGTGTCCCCCTCAGTAACAATTCTGTGTCTGTCCCTGAGTAACAATTCTGTGTCTGTCCCTGAGTAACAATTCTGTGTCCCTCAGTAACAATTTCTGTGTCCCTCAGTAACAATTCTGTGTCCCTGAGTAACAATTCTGTGTCCCTCAGTAACAATTCTGTGTCCCTCAGTAACAATTCTGTGTCCCTGAGTAACAATTCTGTGTCTGTCCCTGAGTAACAATTCTGTGTCTGTCCCTGAGTAACAATTCTGTGGCCCTAAGTAACGTTTCTGTGGCCCTAAGTAACGTTTCTGTGGCCCTAAGTAACGTTCTGTGGCCCTAAGTAACAATTCTGTGGCCCTAAGTAACGTTTCTGTGGCCCTAAGTAACGTTTCTGTGGCCCTAAGTAACATGTGTTCCCTGTGTCCCTCAGTAACAATTCTGTGTCCCTCAGTAACAATTCTGTGTCTGTCCCTAAGTAACAATTCTGTGGCCCTAAGTAACAGTTTCTGTGGCCCTAAGTAACGTTTCTGTGTCTGTGTCCCTAAGTAACGATTCTGTGGCCCTAAGTAACAATTCTGTGTGGCCCTAAGTAACGTTCTGTGCCCTAAGTAACGTTTCTGTAGCCCTAAGTAACGTTTCTGTGGCCCTAAGTAACGGTTCTGTGGCCCTCAGTAACAATTCTGTGGCCCTCAGTAACAATTCTGTGTCCCTGTCCCTAAGTAACAATTCTGTGTCTGTCCCTGAGTAACAATTCTGTGTCCCTGAGTAACGTTTCTGTGGCCCTAAGTAACAGTTCTGTGGCCCTCAGTAACAATTCTGTGTCCCTCAGTAACAATTCTGTGTCCCTGAGTAACAATTCTGTGTCCCTGTCCCTGAGTAAACAATTCTGTGTCCCTCAGTAACAATTCTGTGTCCCTCAGTAACAATTCTGTGTCCCTCAGTAACAATTCTGTGCCCTCAGTAACAATTCTGTGTCCCTGAGTAACAATTCTGTGTCTGTCCCTGAGTAAGAATTCTGTGCCTGTCCCTGATTAACAATTCTGTGTCCCTGAGTAACGTTTCTGTGGCCCTAAGTAACAGTTCTGTGGCCCTCAGTAACAATTCTGTGTCCCTCAGTAACAATTCTGTGTCCCTCAGTAACAATTCTGTGTCTGTCCCTGAGTAACAATTCTGTGTCTGTCCCTGAGTAACAATTCTGTGTCCCTGAGTAACGTTTCTGTGGCCCCAAGTAACAGTTCTGTGGCCCTCAGTAACAATTCTGTGTCCCTCAGTAACAATTCTGTGTCTGTCCCTGAGTAACAATTCTGTGTCTGTCCCCCTCAGTAACAATTCTGTGTCCCTCAGTAACAATTCTGTGTCCCTCAGTAACAATTCTGTGTCCCTCTGAGTAACAATTCTGTGTCCCTCAGTAACAATTCTGTGTCCCTCAGTAACAATTCTGTGTCCCTGAGTAACAATTCTGTGTCTGTCCCTGAGTAAGAATTCTGTGTCTTCCCTGAGTAACAATTCTGTGGCCCTAAGTAACGTTTCTGTGGCCCTAAGTAACATTTCTGTGGCCCTAAGTAAGTAACGATTCTGTGGCCCTAAGTAACGTTTCTGTGGCCCTAAGTAACGTTTCTGTGGCCCTAAGTAACGTTTCTGTGGCCCTAAGTAACGGTTCTGTGTCCCTCAGTAACAATTCTGTGTCCCTCAGTAACAATTCTGTGTCCCCTAAGTAACAATTTCTGTGGCCCTAAGTAACAGTTTCTGTGGCCCTAAGTAACGTTTCTGTGTCCCTAAGTAACGATTCTGTGGCCCTAAGTAACGATTCTGTGGCCCTAAGTAACGTTTCTGTGTCCCTAAGTAACGTTTCTGTAGCCCTAAGTAACGTTTCTGTGGCCCTAAGTAACGTTTCTGTGTCCCTCAGTAACAATTCTGTGTCCCTCAGTAACAATTCTGTGTCTGTCCCTAAGTAACAATTCTGTGGCCCTAAGTAACAATTTCTGTGGCCCTAAGTAACGTTTCTGTGTCCCTAAGTAACGATTCTGTGGCCCTAAGTAACGATTCTGTGGCCCTAAGTAACGTTTCTGTAGCCCTAAGTAACGTTTCTGTAGCCCTAAGTAACGTTTCTGTGGCCCTAAGTAACGGTTCTGTGGCCCTCAGTAACAATTCTGTGGCCCTCAGTAACAATTCTGTGTCTGTCCCTAAGTAACAATTCTGTGGCCCTAAGTAACGTTTCTGTGGCCCTAAGTAACGTTTCTGTGGCCCTAAGTAACGTTTCTGTGGCCCTCAGTAACAAATCTGTGTCCCTCAGTAACAATTCTGTGTGTCTGTCCCTAAGTAACGTTTCTGTGGCCCTAAGTAACGGTTCTGTGGCCCTAAGTAACGGTTCTGTGTGGCCCTCAGTAACAATTCTGTGTCCCTCAATAACAATTCTGTGTCTGTCCCTATGTAACAATTCTGTGGCCCTAAGTAACGTTTCTGTGGCCCTAAGT